GTCAAGATGTATAAGTTATGAAGACTCTAATGACATGGTTCTAGAGACTTAGCTTTGATCCTTCTACACATGCCTCAACCATATACATCCAGAAGACTCTGAAGATTAGAAGAGAAAATCAAAAGGTTTCATGTGAGTTACAGTACAACGGACAACATCACTTCGCCTCCACCACACTGGTTTTGTGGCACAATGACAATACTTTTATACTAGGTTGTCTACCACTCTCTCACTGACCGTTGCAAGAAAACATCTGGAATTTTGGTATTCCTATTCTACCCTCCAATGGATTTATTTTCAGCTATAAAAGAAAGACTTGGAAGAATTGGAAATATGGAAGAGCTTTCAAGAAACTCACGCTTATTCAAGTTGCTAAAATGCTTCTAAAATAACTCTATAATTTTTGTAAAGCAAGGAGTTGTTTCTCATTAACTTGCTAGCAAAGAACTTTTGTTTGTTAACTTGATTAACATTATTGTGTTATTATTTGTAATTTAATATTGTGTAATTCGCTTGTAAGAAGAAATCATGTAAACACAAAATATGTATTCAACTATAAGTTGATTGTTCCTTGAGTCACTGAGTGAAGGTCTGTAGACTCAAGAAGACAAAGGCAACTGGTCCTTATGATTGGTTCCTTGAGTGACTAAGTGTTAGTTTTTAGACTCAAGAAGACAAAGACGGTTGGTTTTTGTGGTTTGCAACAATGACGGGTAGTCTTGTTGCGGTTCTGTAATTAGTTTGGTCATAGTGGATTAAGTCCTTATTGAAAATGTAAAATAACTTTGGCGAGTGGATTGTATTAACTTTGTTAATAGTGAACTATGATAAAAATAATTGTGTTCATTTATTTTTATTCTTCTATTAAAAATTTGTGTCTGAGTTTGGAGAAATTTTATTTGGTGAAACTCAATTCAAACTCTCATTTCTTGTGTTTCTTGCACCTTCAAAAAGAACTAAGGAAAATTAGAGAAGAATGTAAATAGGAATTGCAAGTAAATCGCAAAGCACCAATATACCAAAGCAAAAAAATTCAGCACTAAACCACCACAGTAGTGTGAAAAAGGCACATAAAGGCAATCCCAACTTCTACCGAGACAATAATGCATTTTAAGTTATGAAGCATGGAGTGGCTAGGGTACAACGCGACACAATTTTGTTGGTTTTAATTTTTATTATAAACAATGAAACATGTTTAGAGATCAAGGGTTCAATATTATATTGTCTAAGGTGATTTTGTGAGTTAGAGGAAGGTGGAAATGAAGAATATCATTATGAGTTCATTTTTATCATTGTAATTCTTAATACTTTCTTTCCAAATGTAAAAACCATAAATCTCTTATGGGTGAGTGTCTAGTATTTTTAGATTAGGTTATTTATAGAGGGTTCTACCTTAAACATACAACCCTATGTAATTCTCAATTGTTGGGTGAGAATATGGTGTTAGAAAACAGTCTAGAGGGGATGAATAGACTTTTAAAAACAAATTAACCAATTCTTCAAATGAGAATAACTAGAGGTTTTTTACAGTTTGCACGCAGAAGTTTACAGAGCGAAAATGTGAAATTAAACTCACTTACTTTGTGTAACAAATCAAATCACTATACAAATATCACAATGTTTAGATGAAAAAAATACAACGTATGCAATTGAATCAATTGGATATGTCACAGGTGTGGTTAAGTAATTAATCAAAAAGTGAATTCTAAAGGCAGGATGTTTCTTAGATTTTGATCACCACTAAAGCTCTTGTTAAGTCTCTAATTCCAGCAAGACTCTTGGTAAAGAAGATCTCTTATGAAAAAAAGGTATAGAAAACTGGTGAGAAACCAAAGGCAAGTAGAAAAGAATGCTTCGAGAGAAACTCATTGGAATACCAATAAGGAGTATTGGTGGAGGTGGTATTCTCTTATGAGAAGTGTCGTTGTCTTGACGAGGATTTATCTGTGCTTTTGAGAAAGGCTTGAGTCCTGGATTATGCTTTGTATACATGTTTGAGTTTTCTGGTGTAATATTCTATCTTGATGGAAATGCTATGCGTTTTTGTGATGCAATATTATGTAATGATGATTACTATATGTAAGGTGTCGATGTATGATCGAACTTTATATTGTGAATGTGTTTGGTGGGGTCTGATGCACTTTGTCAAAAGTCAAAAGGATCAAAGCGAAGCAAGGCTCTTGCATCAAATGGTATCACTGAGGATGTATTTACCGATGATGATTTGATTTTCAAGGTGCTAATAATAATTGGGCTTTAATTCTATGCGAGGAGGCGTCAATGAAGATTGAGCTCTGATCTCTTTGGTTTTTAAAGGTGCCAATAAAGATTGGGCTCTGATTTTGTATGTTTTCTTGACGAGGCTTCATGTAACGCTAGATGTATGCGATGACATGTATGAGCAAAGCGACGTGATTGATGCATGATGATAATTTATGAAATGGTTTTGAGGGTTCGACAAATATCCCTGAGGTGGGTCGTGTATGGTTAACACCGTGGAGTGTTTTGCTTGGTCACAAGGCTTTTTGTTGAAAGGTTGTGGGATGTGTTTAATATGACATCCCGATATTTTCTTTGAACTCAACGATTGCTTATGCGCGATAGAACTTGTTTGAGCGGCTTTGAAAGGGGAGGAATTTCCCCTGCATAGTGTAACTTTCCCCAGTATGTAGGGTTTTTGAAGGAATATGCCTCGAGATGACCTCTGAACCCTTGTACCATAGTGACTTGAGATGGTCTACCCCAGTGTCCTGAGTTTTGGGACAGTTCACCTGATTAACCAGTGTTAGGAATAGTTTCAATGACCCTTGGGTGACTCCCTGTGATTACCTGACTCTTGGAGAGATCTGTCGAATCTCGACATGATTGCCCCAAATTGACTAAACCTTGAGACGACATATTCTTTGCTTAACGGAGTCCTCAAGTGATTTTCCCCTTAGGGTGATCATTTTTAAAGCAGTTTGCCCTGCTCAACGGAGTCTTCGGATAACTTATACCTTTGTTGCGATCATTCCTCGAAATGATTCGCCTCTATTCAACATAGCTTTGAGGCCCTTTGTCCCTGAGAATATTCCAAAAGTGGCTTGCCTCTGCTCGACGAATTCTTCGGGCAACTTCTACCTCTGAAATGATCATTCTTTGAGTGATTCGCCTCTACTCAACAGAGCTTTGAGGCAACTTATCCCTTAGGATCATATGAAAGTGGCGTGCTCCTGCTCAACAGAGTCTTCAAGCGATCTTCCCCTTATTGTGATCATTCATTGAAGTGATCCGCCTTTGCTCGACGAAGTTTTGAACTTGTCTCTTAAGCTCTTCAACTGATGCTCATTATGGAGGTTTTCTTGATGTCAAGTTCTTGTTCGCAAGCAAAACATGTTTTTTCTAAGGATGATGATTCTAATGTGATGCTTATGTTAGTCTTGAAGTCAGAGTTTTTATTGAAATAAAGTTGTATCCTTCGGTGAATGAATCATATTTAGAATGCAACCTCGATTTTTTCAGTATGAAAGATGATGTGGGGATACGGTACCAGCACAAATGTTTAAAAAATATCTTGGGAGTCAGTTTAACGCAATCTCGCTACAATATGCTTTCGAAATAAATCCTGCTTCAATTAAGTCTTTTGAGAGTTGTAACGTGGTCTGGATCATGGTTTTCGAAAAAAAATAATTTATGGCTCAAAGTTTTATTTTAACCCAATCATTCTCCTTGATATTCTCCAATCCTATGTTCAGCTAATTTAGCATGGGAGTTCATGTTTCAAAAGGGTTTTGAAGTGTAGACGTGATGGTTAAGGAACCAATGATTTTTGGAATGGCAGTCACCATTTTTGTTTTTGTGTTTGTAGTCATACGAATTTGTTCGGGCTGAGGATTTTTGTAATCCTTCTTTTTGCTTTGCCTTTCGTTTTTTCGTTTTCCCTAATTTTTGCATGGATTGATTCTTTTGAATTTACAGTCCACCGGAGTGCCCTAATTTTTTTCCTAAGTCACTTGTTTTCAAGTTATCGACTTAGCAGACTTTCTCTTTTTTCTTTTTGATTCTCATCCTTTGTGAACAAATTGTGTGACATTCGTTTGTCTGAGCGTTTGAAAGGGTTGTGACAACCTCGTTTCTTAGTTGGTGAGGAACAACCATTGAAGCTTTGTGCTTTTCGACCTCTTGATGGATGAGAGATGAGATGTGATTAATCCTCAGATGAGACACTCCTTTTAAAATTTAAATGTTCGGTCCAATTAACTTAAGACTACCTTGCCCCTAATTAATATTGAGGGGTTTTTCGTATAGAAAAGAAACTTCTACTTCTTGATTCAAAGGAGTTGACGAGGGATTATCTTCCTTCATCATAATTTTCAAATTAAATTTCTTACTCCTTATTATCCCTTTTTTTTTTTATGGTTTTAGCTTTTTTTTTTCTTTTCTTTTCATTGTTCTTGTGTGTTAAGTGAGGTGTTTTATAACTCTTCTATCTATATACATATAAATATCACTACAATCTTGGTTGTTTAAAGCAAGAGTGTAATGTAATCCTTTTGAAGTGTTAGTGTAATCTAATCCTTTTGAAGTGTGAGTGTAATCTTAATCACTGAGAGTGCAATCTAGACTAACCATACAAACGGTTTATCATTAAATTATTGCTATAGTTGAAGAAAGAAAGAAAGAAAGAAAGAAAGAAAAAGGCAGTGGACCTATTTTCATATAAGTTTGATGCTGGTTATTTAAATTATAATGAAGAGCTTATTGAAAATAAACTGAAAAACGACTTATGAATATGTTGCAGGTTAATTTCATAACTTCTTCCTTGCATAAACACTAGTGCCTATGCCATACATTGGTCCATGCTAGGACTTCACAAACCAATCCAAATGCAGCCTAATCATATCTAGTTTGAAAAGGTAAAACCGGTAGAAGACAATCTTCCAAACTAAGCAGCCATTGTTCATAAAAATAAAAAAGATAACATGCATTTTTCAAGCTCTGGTTTTTGGAAATTGACTGATTTACATAAAACACTCATCTAATTTGCTTTTTTGGAGCTGAAAAGCAGGATTGATCCAGGCTCCACAGCTGCACTGCATGCCAGCCCAGTTGAAGTAACCTAAACGAGCTTTACAACCCATACACACAAGCTTCTCCTCCACTTGGCCTTCTTGTACTTCAAAGTCAATCAAAAAGAGTCAAAGTCAATCTATAAAGCGCACAACACTGGTACGTTGACACCGGTAATAATTTGAAAAAAATAATAAATTAAACATAATCACAAGTGTCAGTATCGGTTTCGGACACCGATACTGACACGGACACACCTTTTTTCAGAGGTGTCGGTAATACATAGAAGTGAATCCATACTATGTTATTTACAGTCTGTATGAGGGAAATTTACAAGTACCTGGTTGCATCCACTTCATAGGCTCGACAAATATTGAGGTGCAATCAGCTGGTTGTTTTTTATTATCCCAGGATTCCCTGTCTCTCTTACTCCACTTGAAGCATGATTCTCCTTTTCCACGCTCATGGGGAACTATAATATCCTCTGAAGCAACAATTCTTCTGCATTTCTTACACCGGTATATAAGTTGAGATTTGGTTGCAGTTTCTGACTCAGAGATACTAGTTTCAGCCATTTGATCCTTCTGCAATTTTCCTCTGATCCTTATGCTCACTGTGAATTTAAAGCAAATGAGATATGAGAATAGAGAAAAAGATTGGCATGTCTCCGGATAAAAATATAAAATAATTGTCTAATAGTGAATCATCTACACGTACACTCCAACATACATATCTGGGTGGATTAATACTACACATGTGAGTATAGTGATACAAAGAAACTACATACTTATACCAAGAACCGGATGACAATTGCAAAATAACACTTTCAATTCAATGGTCATTCCAAGTTTAGATGCCCAAATTCACATATGGGGTAGCTTGCAATTGCAAAATGAGATGCACAAGACCATCAAACATTAGTTGTCAAGTTCAGAATGCAATATAATGAAAAATGCATTCAGAACAACATTGGCATTTTATCAAACAGTTAGTAAGCAACCAGGTAACATGAACACAAGCACGCGTTCAAGCTAACCAGGTTATCAAACAGTAATAGTAATAGAGAGCAGAAAGAGGTAGAATGGTTTACCGGGAGAAATAAGGCACCGACTCAGAGCACTTTCCCTTTCGGTTTTCGGTTTCGCTTTTTTTTTTTTTTTGGTGAGTTGAAGTGAAAGTGTAAGCGCCGAATTTGAGAATCAATAATAGGTGAGGTATAGGGCTCTAGGCTATTCCTCCCTTATAAAATTAAGGTAATTTATCATTAATAATTTATATTAATATATTTTATCACATAAAATTAATTTTTAAAATTATATATTAACTCAAGATTTTAAGATATTGAGTATATCTCTTTTTTCATGTAAAAGAAAATAATATCTTTTTTTTCTATTTAATATGAAAATTATTATTTATATTTAACATATCAATATTTTATCATTTAAAAATTAAATTATTTAAAAAAAATTATTTCATTTTAATTCTTTAAAATTTTAGTTTAATATATAATTTTAAAATTTTATTTTATATGACAAAAATTTATTGATACACGTCATAAGAGATAAATTATCTTTAAATTTATAAAGAATAGTCAAGAATTTACCATCATAAAATTAACGGAAGTATAAGGTTTGTCAAAATTAGAGGGACGTTTATGTATTAATTTTTTTTTAAAATTCTATTCAATAATTTAAATAATTAATTTTTAGAGATTTTTAAAATAAATACAAAATTATTTTTGGGTTTTTTTTCATAATAAATATAAAAAAAAATTTTGAGTCAAAAAAAATATATAAAAAAATTGATAAGGAGTAAGTTACTACTAACTACCTCTGGTTCTTATAGATGATTATTAATAAAAGTTACTTCAAAATAAATTTTCTTTTCAAATGGTTTTTAGATTTTGCAAGTACGACAACTACAAGCAAAAATAATGTAGTTTTATATATTCAATACTTTGGCCAACTTTTTCGATACACTTTAAACTTGATTGTTAAAATCAGATTCTTTTAAGTCTATTTGATTTAAGGGAAAAGAGGAAATCAGATTCTTTTAAGTCTGTTTGATTTAAGGGAAAAGAGGAAATGAGAGAAATTTTAATAAAAGAAAAGAGAAGGGAGAAGAGGTGAGGTGAGGGAATATATTTTAGAATTAAATATGTTTGTGGTTTCTTTAAATATAATAGTTTTTTATTTTAGTTCCTCTAAACATTTTTTTTAAAGAAGGGTCTATCTAAAAAAAAAATGCTGACCTTAGTATGTTGTTGAACTTAATCACGTGGCATGTCACGTCAGCATCTTTGACAGCTGACACTGTCGTGTGTTAGTGTCATGTCAGTTCTGTTAACAGACGTTAGTAGGAAAAATCAAAAGTGTGGATGTAAAATTTTAGAGGAATCATTCTTTGAAGAAAATGTTTAGAGAGACTAAAAACAAAAAACGTTATATTTAGAGGAACCAAAAACATATTTAATCTTATATTTTAATTAAATATATGTTTGGTTCAAAAGAGAAAAAAGAAAGGGGAACGAGAATTTTAAATCAACTATATGTTTAGTTCACAAAAGAAAAGGGAGAAATTTTAAAACTAATTTACCTTTTAATCTTTAAAATATTATAATAATTATATTAAATAAAATATAAACAAAGTGATATTCACACAAAATAATTCCATTAATAAATAACATTGATATTCAAACATAAAATATTTAATATTTAAAATACTTTGAAATATATTAAATGATAAAATAATAAATAAAAATGAATAAAATAACACATGAAATAAAATAAGGAAATGTTAGTCATAATAGTAAAAATAATAGAGTTGCCGTAATAAATTGTGGAATTCTAGGATAAAAATTAATGTATAATATTTATTAAGAATAATTTATGATTTTAATAAACAAATTAAGGGTAATTTTGTCAATATAATAAAAAGTAATTTTTTCATAACTCCTATCCCTCCCTTCCCCTCCAAATTCCCTCGATTTGGGAGGAACGAAAAACTACTCCATGAGAAAATCTGATTATCTTCAATCACATCCCCTCCCCTTGTAAAAAATTGAACCAAACATGCTTAACTTAAAATATTTCTGCCCCTCCAAAAACGCCCAACCAAATGGACCCTAACTCTAAAACCATGTATCACAATATGTTTGCATAGAATTAGTGAAGCTCGGTAAATCAGATCAGATTGTGAATATCCTTTATATGGCTATTAACAATCTCTTGGTTTGAGTCTGGTCATTATGGTCATTCATTGTTTTGTCTCATTGTCTGATGTGGTTGTTATGGCCATTAACAACCTTGTTTCTTTTGCTTTAGTGTGGTCGTTATGGCTATTAACAACATTGTCTTTTTGTACTTGAGTTATTTCGAAAATATTGATACACAGTTCCTCTAGCATGAGGCGTGCAGGGATATAATGCTTTAAGTAAAAGACCTTGATACCACACACTCTTCCAAGCATAAGCTTTGAATGGGTGAAGTGATTTAAGTAAGAGATCTTGGTATTACAGTACTGAACCTGCGCCCAGGAGGAGTCATTCTGACCATCCAATATCTAATCGAACTTGTGGTAAAGAGCGCCCCTTTTCTTTTGTAGCTTCAATTCCCAACTATGTTAAGTATAATCCCAAGTATTTACCAAACTTTTGATGTCGAAGGTGAACTTCTATGGTTTTAGCCTCATGTTGTATTGGCAGACATGGTTGAAAACAATTGTAAAATGATTTTCATGTTGATGATACTCTCCAAACATGACTATTATTTCACCCATGTATACCTCCAACATGTTGTTCATCTCTTGCTCAAAGATTTTATTCACCAATCTCTTATATGTTGCACCTACATTTTTCAAACCAATAGGAATTATGTTATACTTGTAATTAGTGTGTTCCTTCATGAAAGGGGTTTTATCTTCGTCCATCTCGTGAACTTGAATATGTTTATACCCAAAAAGGCAGCCATGAACGGAAATAACACGTACCTTGTTGAATTATCCATCAATTTTTCAATGTTGGGGAGACTGTAAGAATCTTTTGGACAAACTTTGTTGAGGTCACTGTAGTCAACGCATGCACCATTTTCCAAATAGTTTCTTGACTAGTAAGTTGGAAAGCCATTGTGTGTACTTTAATTCGAAAATAAAATTTTCTTGGAGGAGTATGTCAGTACCATAAATTTCCCTCAAATATATAGTTGTACTTCCAAACGCACTTAAAAGTCCAAACCACGACACTTGCCATAAAATTATACAAAAGTGTATCTCTGTAACAATGGAAGGGTGAATCAGTATAGATCCTACAGAAGTATACCTCTGGACACATTTTGAGTTATACTATTGCATTTGACCTTCTCCTTTCTCATTTCCATTAGAACTTACTCTGAACAAAAAAAAAGATCTCGTGAGCAAATCCCATTTCAATCATTTTCAACCTTTCTCACAACTTCTATCACATTGCATTTAATCTAAGAGATTCTAGTTCTCACATTTGATAGGTTTTTCATTTTCTTCCTTTTTTATATATATTTATGATGCATGCATTACTTAATTAAGTTGTTTAATGTATATTAAGTTGTAGTTACACTCATAGTAGTTTATTGAGGCACACATTGACTTCTTTTTTTATATTTAGAGTATATGGTATGTTGAGTTTATGCGTTTTCAACGATTTATGAGTCTCGTGTTTTACAGAAGTGCACTTTCATATTTTATCTGTATTTGATTTTCCTGAGTTATGGAAGTGTGCTTCTGTAAAGCCTCGGTTTTAGTACATTATTTAATTTAATTTATTTCTACTTAATTATGATTTTTTCTGTATTTAATTTAATTATTATGGGGGATAATTAAATAAACGTGGGGGATAGAACGTGCGTGTACCTTATGGTGGGAGTGTAGAGAGTAATTAAAGGATGATAGAATAATTTAGAATTATTTTATTAATTAGAATTATGTTTTAGTTTTATTATTTAAATAAAACAAGAGAAATAGAGCAATTGGGCTAAGGTGAGAATTAGGGAAAGTTATAGGGAGGAAGGAGTAAGAAGGATGTAAATTTGGGCTAAGTGTGTAATTCTGAGAAGATCTAACCTAAATATAAAAATTAGGAGATAAACCTATAATTGGGAGAATTGTTATCAGTACGTAGAAAGAAGAGAGAAAGAGTCTAGAGGCAAAAGGGGGATAAGAGGGAGGCTAAAGATTGAAGGGAGAATTCATCCAAACTAACTTCCACTTCAGATTTCTTGCTAGGAATTAAGGTAAAGGAAAAAATAATATTAATAAATGGTATATGCATAAAGTGTAGGGTAGAGGAGTCCTTAACCTCCAATAGATCGATATGAAATTGTATGCTTTGTTGTGTTATCGTATGAATCTGGAAATTGATAATTCATTGGTGTCATAATCTATTATGAATGATGAAATTCGTGTACCCTTTACCATGAAAATATGCCATGTTTATGTATTGTTAAATTGGAATGATGAATATGAATTTGTGTGATTTAATCCATGAATGTTTGATTTAAATGTTGTTATAGATGTATATACATGTGTTGTTTTGTGTTTAGATCTG